GTTTAAAGTGGTAAGAAGCAAAGATATTACTTTGAAGACTAAGGTGCACCTGAACTCCAGCCATGGTATTCTCAGTCATTTCATATGCATGTGAAAGCTGGACATAAATAAGGAAGAGTGAAGAAGAGTCAATGTCTTTGAATTATGGTGTTGGTGAAGAATACTGAATATTCCATAGACTACCAGAACTAGCCAATCTGTCCTGGTGTAGCCAGAATGCTTCTTGGCAGTGAGAATGGCTAGACTTCTTTTCACCTACTGTGGTCATTTTGTCAGAAGGGACCATTCCCAGGAGAAGAATATCATGCTTGATAAAATAGAGGGTCAGCAAAAAAAGGGGAAGACCCTCAACAAAAGTGATTGATGTAGTGGCTGCAACAATGAGCTTAAGTATCGCAAAGATTGTGAGGATGGTGCATGAATGAGCGAGTTCATCCCTTTGTACACAGGTTGCTGTGAGTCGGGGTTGACTCCATGCACCAAACAATAACAACAACATCTCTAATGAAATTCTTTTTTGTTCCTGTATCATTTTCTTGATTTCCTTTAGTTCGTTGAACTTATTTAATATTGTTTTAAAATATTCTAGTCTGTCCATTCTTCATAGGGACAATTTCTATTACTCACTTTTTCCTTTTGCTTGGCCTAATCTTTCCTATTTTGTTTATTTGTTTTGTTGCATGCCTTGTGATTTTTTTGTGTGTACTGAGATATTTGAATATTATAATGTGGTAACTCTGGAACTGAGATTCTTCCCTTTCCCAGGGATTGCAATTATGTTTTAATTGTTCAGGACTGCTCAGCTACCTCCCGTAAACATTTTTGCCTAAGCCTGCCCTCCTAGATGTTTGTGCACCTCAAGAACTCAGCTTATCCCCAGCTAGTGTTGGAAAGACCTTTTCTTGTGTTCTAGGGACAACAAAAAGCAAGAACGGGAAGAGAAGAAAACAACAGCAAAAAATCACTTCCCCAAGTTTTGCAAATTAACTGTGTGTTGGGGCCCTCCTTCAATATTAGTGCTGGTTCACGGCAAGCAAGAACGGGAAGAGAAGAAAACAACAGCAAAAAATCACTTCCCCAAGTTTTGCAAATTAACTGTGTGTTGGGGCCCTCCTTCAATATTAGTCCTGGTTCACGGCAAGCTGGGCTAGCTTACAGTAAGTCCAAAGTGAAAGCATAGGGTCCCCAGGTAACTTTTGTTCCTGCATCCTACTCTGAGCACGTGTGAAGCCACCCCAATTATCCCATGTACACAGTACCTCTGAAAGCTGTAAGTTCCAACAGAAACATGCCACCATCTTCTTCAGCCCTTAGTCTTAGTTGTATGCTCAAAGCCCACTGCATAGCATCAGGTATCTGCAGGCAGTCACAGCCTTTCAGCGCTGCCCATCATTCCCCCTTCCCCTGCATGAGTTCTGAGACAGACCACATCTAGAGGAGGACCTGCTTCAGTCCTTCGGTAGCCCCCAGCCAGTTCAGAATAGACCTCCACTATAACCCACCAGTAAAGTGTGCTGTACTCCAGAGCCAGGGCCCCTTTCTGGGAGCACCATCTGCTGTTCTGCTTTAAGGTGGTAGAGCCATCACATCAGGAAGAGGTGAATGGGCCTAGCTGAGTGGAAAACTACAGCTCTCCTCCCATTTAAAAGTTGCCTGTTTCTTGATTCAGTTTTTCCAAAGTTGCTACAACCTTCAGCTATTTTTCAGAGTCTTTACAAAACTGATTCTACCAATTTGTGGTTGTTTTCCTTGGTGATCTTGTGAGGCAGGAGGGAACCTGCTCATGCCACTGTTTTCTCTGGTTTCCTATGTGTTCTTAACATCTCCTGTAATTTTTTAATGCAATTCATTGTACATTGTTATTGTTGTTGTTGTTGTTGTTGTTGTTGTTGTTATGTGCCATCAAGTCGGACCCAACTCACAGTGACCACTCCTTTGGTTTCTGAGGTGGTATCACTACAGAAGTAGATTGCCCAACCTTCCTTCCAAGGAGTGGCTGGTGGGTTCATTGTACATAGTAGGTGTTTAATTGCTATATGTATTTTTTTAAAAAATATGGATGAATGAAGACAGAATTCTGGATGGAGTGAACTGTGACCTTGACTCATTGCTGTATTATCTGGAGAGCTGGGAAAAGTCCAGGATGGGTCCTGATCTGGGTGGGTATCAGGGATGCTGGGCAGCTTCCACATGGAGTCTGAGAAACCTGTTCCATTGTTTGACCCCTTGGCAGATGTTGCAAGTGCCTCATGACCACCACTGCGTCTTTCGGACACCCTGCCTTGAAAGTTCAGAAAGTGCAGAAAGGCTGTTAATTCCTTAAGGAACTTTCTACCTATACTCCCAGGAAAATAGCCCCTAGGATTAGTCTGATCTGAGGATGATATACAAAGTGGAGCCCCAGTCTGTCCTGAGAGCCCCTTTTCTAGTCTGAGAGTTCTTGGTTTTAGGCAGTGTTAGTACCAGGTGGACACAATAAAGCATTGCTCTGTAACTGTATTTTTCTTTGCTCCACTGTTTTGTTGCCCAGAGATTGTGACAGTGACAGTAAAGCCATTGATCTTGGATGTCTCCTTAAGTCTAATAAATAAATCCAGTGTTTCAGACATGATGCATCACAGAAGCATCATTGGGGGTTTGGACTGGAACAGAAAAGTAATTAATGAGAATGCATATTTAAAACTTCAAGTGGCAAGAAACCCATTAAGCCCAAAGGATTTTCTTTAATAAAAAATTAGAAATACCTGTCTCTCTTCTTGAGGGCCCTAAAATTAATTATTGACAAGCTCCTTCTTCCTTTTCACTCTTTTTCTGTCTTCTAGTCACCCCAAGAGACTGAGCTAGTCTGAAAATCTTCATGCCTTTTCTAAGTTTTTAAAATAGTAGCAAAATGCTGCTGTGATCAGATAAAGCTGTATTTTCACTGTCATCTCTAACTTGTAATAATGCTTGATAATTACATGGTGCTCTGCATCTGCAAATCTGTAAACACTTTATAAATGTTAACTCTTTAATTCTTTGCAGAGAGAGGTTGATTGCAAGCTGCCTTTGTGGTTTAGCTGTACATTTGGTTTAGTTAAATCTTACCAAAGTGTTCTTCCCTGAATGTGGCAGGGCTACTAAAGTGACATCCACTCTCAAGAGTGACTTTCTGTGCTGCCAAATGAAAAATCTGAAGTCTGAAGATACTCCTGGGTCTATAGTATAACCAGTTACTATTTTGATTAAAGTTCAGGTTGCTGAAATTGAAAGTTTAGATTACTGGAATTGTTACAAAATATTTTGTCTGTAAAAGAATGTAGGCAGGGTTTTGTTTCTGATGCACATTATTTGCCCTGCTGTTTAAAAGGAGGAATTCATCACTGCTTCCTTAGCAGCAATTTTTATGGCTTTTTATTTCTTTTTAAAAGTACTTTTTCCCTAAAGATCTGTTTTTTCCTCCTTTTATATCCCAAAGAGTGGAATACCAGATAATTTTAAAATTTACACTAATGAATTTTGAAAGCTTGACTAGATTATAAAGAAACTTATGGAATAGAGAAAAAAAAAAGGATTTTTTAATGGTTTTAAATTTCTTTGATGAAAACCTTGATGCATGTTACTTCAGTTCACCACACGATTTTAATTTATTATACAAATGTAAATTTTTTCCATTTTGAAAATCGATTGGAAAGAGTACACACTAAGTTTTCACAGCACAATAAGTGCATCAAATTTTTTCTTTCTGATTTGCTTATTTTGTCCTTAATGACAACCCACTTAAAGTAAAAGTCTTTAAAGTGGAAGAATAGTGTGATAACATGTCTTCACTGGCAATTTAATACTTGGATATAATGAGTTCATCTGAGAGATTTCATTAAAAACAGCAAGGTGCCTGAATACCAAAGCTGAGATGTTTTTAATCACAGAATTATAGTAATTATACAAATCCCAAGATTTTCATCAGACAGAAAAGCCTTCCAGGGCTAAACATGCACTTTTGACTTAGCACTAATAACTGTGCATTGTTCTAAATTATAGTAGAGAGAATCCTCAGGCCAAGGGAATCTTAGAAAGAATGTTAAGTGTTGAATTTTTAATGGAAATTGAAAAATAAACTATTTGGGTAACAATGAATGTCCACAAGAAACATGGATATTAGCTACGGCCATAAAACATGGCAGGTGAATATTCAGAAAAAGTCAGTGAGCCCGTTATCATTTATTATTTCTTTAGCATAGAGAGAATTATGGAAGAACCACCTCTCTCTCTCCTCCCAGGGGTCCTGAAATTGATAATTGAGTAGGAGCCGACTTCCAGTAAGGACCACCATGGAAAGGTCTATGAGAAAGAGCATTAGTATATCAGATGATTACTGGCCAAGAATCTGGAGTTCCTGAGTCTTTTGAAGACTAAAGCATAATTTAGTTATTGTTTGGGGTTATATAAAATGTCAAGTTTTTATAAAATGACAAAGACATGGTATTCTCAAGGAGCTTGTTTTTAAAAGAAGTGATATTCTAGGGAAGTTTTAGAAAAAGTTGCTAAAAAAGAAATCTTATTTGATTTGTATGTTTGTATGTATGTATGTATTGCTAAAATGAGAGTAGAGGGAGATGAGGAAAGGGGATTAAAGAAGAAATGGAATTAAAAACAGAATGTGCTGTTGAGATGTCTGTGATGGGTGGGAGGAGAGACTGGTGTGCCTAGAGGAAATGGAGAAGGTATGTCAAGTTGGCTCATTTGTTAAGAGCATGTATTTGATGAAAAAGCCCAGAGATCTGTCTTAATACTTTTGATGACCGGTCAGAACACAGACACTGGAGCAGAAATATCCCTGGAGATTTGAGTCCTGATGGGTCTGTCTTCTTCTTCTCATCCCATCACATTCTGTGGCAAACATATCGTCCCTTGTCTGCATACAGAATTGGACAGTTGGTTAGAAGAACTGTCACCTGACCCTTGCTGAATATAAGTTATCATCCACATTTAGTGTTTTAACTATTTCATTATTTTCATCTTTGAACCTCCAGGTGCTGCCCCATCTCCTCATCAGAAAACTTGAGAACCTCTTGAGCTGGCTTCTAGCCCCACCCCTGAATGTGTGCACCCTCTCCTCCAGGGTTTACTTTACTGCATCCCCCCATGCTTGGCTGGCCCTGGCCTGAGAAGTACCTGTGTTATCTTCTGCCTGCAACTTCAATAAAATTCAAGTTTTTTTTTTCTTTTTCTCCTTTTAATCATCAAAATAATATACTCTTACTGTGGAGAACTTACAAGATACAGAAAAATATGGAAAAGCAGGAAAATCACCCTTGATCCTTCCATCCAGACAGAAGTTTTGTTAACATATTAGCACACAGAGATCCAATTGCTAAATATACTGGCGGCACCATCCTGCTCATTCACAGGCATATGCATGCGCAAACCTGAGGGGGATTGTATTGTGTGTGTGTGTGTGTGTGTGTTGTGTCCTGAGGTCAAACATGACTGGTTTGGTATTCGCTAAATCAGTGTTGGCAGGGACTTTACTGTATGTATTTCCTTTGGATCTTCTTTCTGTGTCCTTTATTCTTTATTTGTGGTACATTGCAGATACATGTTTGCATTCTGATTTGCAAACATTTAAATTTTTTAATCATTTATCATAAATATGTTCCACAAACCTCATGGAGAGCTATTGAATATTGCAATAGTGAGCTTAGGGTTGTTACCTTGAATAAATGTTTCTGTTATTTGTCTTTCTTCTCAGGTCTCCTCTTGCTGTCTTCAGCACATCAGGAAGGCTATGATGGGAATTAATGTGAAAAGTCATCACCTCTGCCTTGAAAATCGTCCTTTAGAAGGAGGAAAGCTGCTCGTGTGATAGTTGGCTTCAAGGGGCAAGGCACACTGTGGAAGGAAATGGACAGAAGGAGCTCAGGGTGCCCCAAACGCATGCCTGCTGTGGTCTAGTCCAGGGAAGCCCTTGTGTGGGGCCCTGGCATTCTGGGATGTCGCCAGGTCTGGACGCATGGCTGATTCCTGAATGATGATGATTCGCAGGGGGCTGCTGGCCTGGATTTCTCGGGTGGTGGTTTTGCTTGTGCTCCTCTGCTGTGCCATCTCCGTCCTCTACATGTTGGCCTGTACTCCAAAAGGAGACGAGGAGCAGCTGGGGCTGCCCCGGGCCAACGGCCCAACAGGGAAAGAGGGGTACCAGGCTGTCCTGCAGGAGTGGGAGGAGCAGCACCGCAACTACATCAGCAGCCTGAAGAAGCAAATTGCACAGCTCAAGGATGAGCTCCAGGAGAGGAGTGAGCAGCTCAAGAATGTGCAGTACCATGCCAGTGACTCCGCGGGCCTGGGGGTGGACCGAGGCGCCCCTGAGAAAACCCAGGCGGACCTCCTGGCCTTCCTGCACTCCCAGGTGGACAAAGCAGAGGTGCACACAGGCGTCAAGTTGGCCACAGAGTATGCAGCAGTGCCTTTTGATAGTTTCACCCTGCAGAAAGTGTACCAGCTGGAGACGGGCCTGACCCGCCACCCTGAGGAGAAACCTGTGAGGAAGGACAAGCGAGACGAGTTGGTAGAAGCAATTGAATCGGCCTTGGAGACCCTGAATAATCCATCAGAGAGCAGCCCGAGTCAGCATACTTACACAGCCTCGGATTTCATAGAAGGTGGGCATGTTTTTGAATGCAATAGAAGAAAGGCACCTGTGGTGAGGCACTCATGCAGGTTGCAGCACTGGGAGGCTGTGGGTATGGCTGACAGGAAGTTTTATTTGAGCTGCACCAAAGATATAAAACATCTGTTTCCACTTACTTTCTCATGGAAACCACAGTCATGGAGTGGGTAGTTTCATTGGTTCTTGGCAGAAGAAGGTAGAACTTTCTGCTTTAGTTGTTTTTAAAAAAGTGAAAACAAACTGTAACCATAAAACTTTGACATCTAAATAGAGTATGAGAGACTATTTAAATTTTATCCCTTTTCACAGACACTTCCTGGTAACAGGAGAGAACCAGGAACAGAGAAATAATATCGAACATGTACCGTAGCACTTCCATATGGCAGGTACTGTTCTAGGAACTTTACACTGATTATTTCATTTTCCTTCCTAATGACCCCCTTTGGGGATGAGAAAAGGGAGGTACAGATAAATTAAGGAAATGCCTAAGCTCACTCAGCTAGTGGTGGAGCCCGGGTTTGAACCTAGGAAGCCTGCCTCTAGAATCCATGTGTGCAACACATCATCGGAACACATAGAATCTGGTGAGATGAATGGCCAGGCTTTTTTCATGGGTACTGGATGGTCTACTTTGCATTTTTCTTTGTGCTTCATTTTAAAAGAAAGACACCTTGTCCAGTTTCTTGGAAGGATCTTTAGTATATTCTTATCAATTTTCCCACTGTTAGTAGTTCAAAAATCAACTGATAATTTGGGAGAGGAAGTCCCTTCAAGGTCATGGAGTTCTTTCCCTCATTTCTGGATAGAATCTGTTTCAATTTTCCCAGAGATATAACTGTGTCCACCTAACCCCACATCCTACTACAGTTAGGCAGCCATCATCTCATCAGCCTACAGGCTAGACAGATGCTCTTTGGTTGTATCTAAAACCCTGCTGCTATTTTTGTATGTTCTCTATGGGCATTGTCTGTCTTGTGATTTTTTCCCATTTTATATGTGAAGCATAAATTCATATAATTTCAGTGTAGTATCATTTTTCATGTACCTAGAGCCACGTAAAGAAATCCTTGCAAGATCAAGCTTTTGGTGTACAAGATTTTTTTTTAACCCATTTATATGATGTTTTAAAAATGCCTAGCACATTTCCTCGGCAACTAGCAAATGGTGAACACTCAGAGTTCAAAATATAATGATGATGGAGCATCACATTTTATACGGATGTATAGTTTAGAAGCATTCCACATATATTATCTTACTAGCTGACCCTCAGGAGAATCATTAAACATCAGTTTTTTAAAAAAAAAAAAAATCCCAGTTTCCACTCACCCTGAAGTAGGCTGTATAGAACTGTCCACATACCAAGCCAATTCCAAAGAACTTGATTACAAACCAATGCCTACAATTTAGAATGTTTGCCCCTGTGATTTTCAGTCTGCACTTAGGTTTGAAATCTCTGTCTGCTGTTCTTTGTATCTTAATGGTAAGGCCAGTCTTTCTCAATCAGTAGTGACAAGGGACTCTGGTCCCTCAGTTTATTTGTTCTGGGATATGACTGACTTTCCTTCAGAGGTTCTCTCATTGTAGCCACCAGTTGTCATCAAGTGAATTCCGACTCATGGTGACTCCAGGTGTGTTGGGGTAGAACTGGGTTCCATTGGGTTTTCAATGGCTGATCTTTTGGAAGTAGATTGCCAGGTCTTTCTTCTGAGGTAGACACAAACCCCCTAGCTTTCAGTTAGTAGCTGAGCACATTAACTGCTTGTATTACCCAGGGACTCCCTTGATTGATATCCAGAAAGTTTGGAAGTTCAAGTTTATCCAGAGGCTCCTTGGGAGAATCACCTAGTGATCGCTTCCAAAATATCAGCCATGGAAAACCCTGTGGAGCATAGTTCTACTGTGACACATGTGCAGTTGCCATGACCCAGAATGGACTCAAGGGTGACTGGTTTTCTCATCATAGCTACCCAAGGTTCTTTTATATATAGCACCCAGCCTAAACTTTAAGGCAGATAAATCTACATATCCCTTCTAAATTTGCTGAAAATCTAGTGCACTGCTCTCACGTGATGATGTGTAAATAAATACAAATAAATTTACACAGATTTGACTGTCACAAGCAGCACAGTTTATTTATTTATTTTAATTCTTAGCACAGAAGGTTGCTGAGGCACAATGTTTTATGCTCAAAGGAAGGGAGATAATATGAAAGATTCACCAGTCAGAGGGAGCTGCAGCAAGGCAAATTTAAAGTCAATATAAGGAGTAACTAGAAATGGGATGGGTCCTTAGAACAGTCAACCATGGGAGATCAGAAGGGCAGCATTTGCACAGGGAAGGAGAGATATAGGGAGGCATGAATGCATAGGCAAGAAGGACACAGGGAAAGGAGGATCACAGGGAGGAAGTAGGAGGTGAGATGTTACACTGTGAAGAATGTAACAGGTGTCACAAAACAAAATGGGTATATGAACTGTTGAATGTAAAACAAATCTGCTTTGTAAAATTTCACCCAAATCACAAAGAAAAGTATTTAAAAAAAAAAAAAAAAAGGTGAAAGAAGCTGTGGATAGTGAGTGTGAAGGGCTGTCCAGAGGGGCTTCTGTCAGTGAGGAGAAATGTAGCCAGTTGAGCTGTGCTTCCTCTTAGACAAATGATCCATAGAAGTGGCTTCTCTAGCAGCTTCCAGGCCAGCCACTGGACCTGGGAGGTCTTGCTGCTGCTTGTATCTGCTCAGCTGTGGATTAAAGCTGGGGGCAAGAGAGGTTGATGGATGAGCAGTCCTGCAGCAGGTGGGGACAAAGAAGCGGTGCTTGTGAATCCTCACTCTTTTTCCCCAGAGCCATTGAAGGCTTGCTTGGAACTAAATGTGGAGGCCACCCAGATCCTGCAGGAATGGGGCATGATCATAGGAGGGCATATATATGACCTAGAAATCCCAAGGGAAATGAATGCTTTTGAATGCTTTTGCTCACAGGACATTTTTTGTTAGCAACATTGTCAGTGACTTGGGGTAGAAATGGTAAGGTAGACATACAGGTATATTTGTTGGCATTTGAGGGATGCCTGGGGGTCTGGGGGCAGAACTAAGTATTTTGGAAGTGGGCATTTGTCACCATGGGTGGATCTGACCTCTGGGATGCCGAGAGATGAAGGGGGAGAGTCTGATAAGGGGAAACTTGCTGAGTTGGGTCTCAACATTTTCAGCTAGTGTCACCAGGGAAGTGAGGATGACAACTCAGAATAATTCTTCTGACTGTCCCTCACTTTGCTGTACACTGGAATGACCCCACCGGTTTATTGCTATATTCTTAAGCAGGCTTGTGTGATATTGCATTCCTCACTCACTTCACCCTATGCCCTCTGTCCTACTAAAACCAAAGAAAACCAAACCCATTGCCATTGAGTAGACTTTGATTCATAGTGACCCTATAGGACAGGGCAAAAGTGCCTCATAGGGTTCCTAAGGCTGTAAGTCTTTACAGAAGAAGACTGCCTCATTTTCCTCCTGCAGAGCAGTTCAAATTGCCAACCTTCCAGTTAGCAGCCAAGGACTTAACTGTTAACAGCACCACCAGGACTTTGTCTCATCTGCTTGTTGTTGTTGTTGTTGTTATGTGCCGTCGAGTCAGCCCCGACTCATAGCGACCCCTCCTTGGGTTTCCGAGGCAGTATCACTACGGAAGTAGGATTGCCCAACCTTCCTTTCGAGGAGTGGCTGGTGGGTTTGAACCACCAGCCGTCTGGTTAGCAGGCAAGTGTCTTAGCCACTATGCTACCAGAGCTCCCCTCATCTGCTTGCTGATGCTTTAAATTACTTTAAGGAGGGGGAAATACTTTTTATTTTGAAATTAGAGATAAGAGGCTTAAATGCAAATAAATGGTTTGAGGCTAAACATTGTAGAATGAATTCTTCCTTGTGGTGGTGGTGGTGAAAAAGGAAGTAGCCCAGCCTTGGATTTCTGAGGAAATCCCCAGCCTCCTCCATCTGGGCAACTTTGTGGGCATGTGACCTGTGCAATTGTACAAGGCCCTGCAGCTGAAAGGACCCTGCACTTGCTTTAATGCTCTGCTGTCACCATCTTGGAATTCTTAACAATTTCTGAATGTGTGATCCACACATCTTGCATTGAGCCCTGCAAATTATGTAGCTTATCCTGCCTTCTGAGGTTGAGGGGCCAGGAGGGAAACATAAGTAGATTTCCATATTTTTACACAACTGACACACAAGTTATATGTATTTTGCAAACCACACAACCTCGCATGCATTAGTTTTCTATGCATGCTGTATATATAATATGCATGAGTGTGTTATTGACATGGGCAAGTTATATGCAAAAAATATGGTAATTCCTGTATTGAACTCATCTGTCTCCTTTGCTGAGGGTCAACTCTGTTCCTCCACTGGCCTGGAGCAAATTCAACCTGAGTACTGAGTATTGTGTCACAAGACTGCAGAAGCTGGCAAGTCTGACTTTGTGAGTTAGGGTGATTTTGTTGTTGTTATTTTTACTAGCCATATTCAAAGCAATTTAATTCCCACAGGACTTTTTTTTTT